ACCTCGGTGAACACGCACCGAGAAGTCAGTGCACCAAGGGAGCATTTAACAAGAGAGATTAACTTATATAGACTGGGGAGAAAAAACAGTCACAGTAACAAAAGTGTGGGTCAATGTTTACAGATGGTCACGGGCAGTCGTGCCCAGTCCATGGACCTGTCCGTTTTCAGGTCAGGGCCTTTAAAAAGGGTATCAGATCTTGGAACCATTTGGCAACCAGCCTCACACACACACACACCCGGTAGCCTGAAGAAGGCAGATGGGACATGAAAAATGCATGGCGCGTAACCCAATTTATGGCCGAATACATCTACCAAAAATGCACGTTTCCCGACAAGAATGTAAAGCATTTGCTTTTTGATGACCTCTTCCCTCTTCATTCACATGGTCCATACACTCGGCGGTACTTGGCCGTGATCCATACAAATTTAATCACATAACACAGTCATAGAATCATCATTCAAGTTCATAGCTCGCCAAGTGCCTGTGTTCTATCGAGTGCCAGGCTTTCCTTTTACCAACGCATGGTGGGCACACCTGATGACCTCTTGGGCCACGTGAGAACATGTGGTCCGACGATACCCGGCATATGGCAGCAACGATCGCTCGTTGGAGTTCACTTGTCGTCTGCAAGTGTTACGTACTCAACACTTTGAGGTAACCGGATAAATGCAAAGATAGTAGCTGAGATCGCGCAAGATCGCCGGCCAAGAAAAATTGAAACAGCGAAGTCGAAGTCGCATTGAGAAATTTGTCTTTTCTGGCCATTAAGTGGTCTAATGTCGAGAATGAATGATATTGCCACCTAACAAATTGCATGACAATGGTCACAAGTCTGTTAAGTTAAGAAATATAAAGAAAGCTAGATTTTTGACATTGAGCTTCGAGCACTGTCACTAAAAACGTCAACGATTCAAGTTACATTCACCACTGGATTAATAAATTGGCAGGTCTTGGCAGACCAAAAGTCAGTCAAAACTCCATTCATATAATTTTAGGACGTGCATGTACATGTATGTACATGCACATATATATATATATATATATATATATATATCAAAGAGATTCCCAAATCTAAGCAGTGTAGCTCGTGTTCAGGTACACCGTCTGAACAGCGTTGTCATGGCTTGTGCGGTCTCTCCGCACCACCCTAACAAACCTGTAGACGTAGTTCGCCCCTGTGCCATGGGCGAGCACGTCGTCGCCATATTCGAGGATAGAGTAGTCACTGGAGAGGCCTGGCGTGGGCTCGCTGCGCCGCGTCACCTGACCAAGCTTCCAGCTGTTGGTAACGGACGCAACCATGAGCGTCCAGCCGCCGCCGTGCAGCTCCTGGTCGCAGTAGACGGGCACCGGCCAGCCAAGCAGCCGGTGCACGCCACTGCCGACCTCCGGATTCATGGTCAGCAGCTGGAGGCAGGTGCTTGGGCACGCGCGCCGGCCGAACGCGCCGGCCGGCTCTGACGTTGGCACCACATCCCCGCAGACGTCCATCGCCGCCAGCAGCTGGCAGCGGCCGTCGGCGCGCAGGTTGAAGCCGCCGCAGTCGGCGACTCGGCTGCACCAAATCCCGCACGTGACGCTGCTGGGCGCCGCCACCCGGCGGCTGGCCAGCGGCGCCAGCGAGGCCGCCACTTGGTCGGGCATTATGGTGAACTGCTGACTCAGCTCGGTCCGGGCGGGCGGCGCGCTCTAGAGGAGGAGCACCAGCCAGAGGTGCGCCGCCGACACGCTCATGCTTGAGGCGCAGCTCACTGGCAGAACAGGATCGGGTCAGGTGGTCGGTGCTGTCCTCAGCACGTCTGGGTACAGTCAACAAATATCTGCGCACAGCTGGAGAGCTAGTTAAGCGACATACGGCACATGTAGCTATCACTGGACTGTGTCGCCTTAGCAATGTTCAAAAGCGATGCGACACCAGCAATGATGAGTCCGAATAGGCATTAAGACAGTCTCTCAACATGTTTTCACTTACTTATTATCGGCCACTGTCCGTCTCCACCTGCCAAGTTGCCTTCTCCAAGAATCAGAGCGGCATTCGCTGTGTTAAACTGCTGTGGTGCCTGGGTTCGATGTGAGCTCGACGCCGGCCAGCTTTGCCATAGCCATTGGTGGCCTGCGCGCATGACTGAAGGATTTTAAACTAATTCTCATTTCCTGGCACGCTTTTATGGCTTGCATGCACACGGGCTGGAGGCATAAGCACAACAAAGTTCTATAAAGCAGGCACCAGTTCAGGTCGCCAGCGAGAATGCTTCACCTTTGTGTGAGGCTTGGAACTGATGGTGATTGTATTGGGAGCGATGATGATTATTGTTGGAGTAGATGGTGTGGTGTAAGAGTGTGGAGGTTTTGTGTGCATGAGAAGAGAGAAGAGAGAGAGAGAGAGAGAGAGAGAGAAGAGAGAGAGGGGATTGAGGAGAGAGGAGAGAGCAGAGAGGAGGAGAGAGATGAGGAGAGAGAGAGGGAGAGAGAGAGAGATGACGGAGAGAGAGGAGAGAGAGAGAGAGAGAGAGAGAACATGGTGTGGTGAGACCAAACCAGGCCCACATTTGCGGCGTCCATGTTCAGACATATACCTACTCACCGAGCAATACATTAATTGATGGGTTTTCATTAAAAATTATAACTTTGAATTTTTTTTTGCTTACTCAATCTCATCACTTGTCCGTTTTGCCCCGAATGCTGCTTCATTTTGCCCCAAGCCAGGGGCAAAATGAGGAAAAAGCATTGCCTGATATTTAGGAGGATCACACTTAAACATGAAGAGATACCAGACCAGCGCTTTTATAAGAGATAGACAATTGATCAGCCTTGGCAATATCAGCTGGCGGGTGAAGCACTGAGGGGGGGGGGGGCATCATTTGATTGCCCACTGGTAAAATCCTGTGCTACTAACCAAGGGGCAATGACGTCACTGATGCCGTTATGTGTCATTGGTTTCGCCGCTGCTAGTCCCATCGCTGTGGCATAGCTGGAGCATAGGGCAGATTAAGCATTTCGGTTGATGCTTCCATTATCCTGCAAGCAGAGGCGTGAACTTTTCTAAATGGTTGGGGGTAAGCAGAGGACCCAAGGGTGTAGTTTCCTATTCAGCTGGTGTGTGTGGGGACAGTGTGTATGTGGTGGTGGTGGGGAGCAGACACGTCCAGAACTATTACTTGAAAGTCGGCCAAATTCAGTGAGATGTATATTTTGTGGTAGTAGGGTGAGCCATCTTCCGCCCCTCCACGCAACAGATTATTTAGGGAAATAACGCCCTTGCGAAGGCCTGGGAACCGAACCTCGCTCTAAATGCGTTCCTTGCCGTCCCTCAGGCCACTTTATTTTGATGTACGTCAGTTTTTGCCTTCAAACTGGTGGCATGGAATAGTCCTTTATCTTAGTAGTATGGTCATCAGCCGCAGGTAATGTCTGAAGAAGGTCCTTGTGATATTTAGGTTTTCCTAAGATTTTGTAGCATTCGGATCAGAAGATTTGTTGGGGGGACAACATATGGGAGAGGCGTGTCACACAAGGGCCCACACAAAGGGGGCAAACCGACCCCTGCCTGCAAGGCCGCAGTCTTCAACCCCTGCCGTCGCTGCTGTTTGGTTATTACGCAGGAGCACGTCAAGGGGTGCCCCATTCGTCCCACAGATCTTCATCTTACCATGCCTGGCTCTTAAGGAAAGTTAAAAATTGGTATGATACGTTCTCACCAAGGGCTGCCCTTCTCGCCCTTAAACAATCTTGATTGTGCCTCTGCTGTTGGTGCGAATTAATGGCAAGTGGGCGCAGAGGCTAGCAAAGCACAGATGACAAAGAGCCGCTGTGTCTTGTCATGTGGCCACAGTGTCTGACGAGGGATGCTGTGTCAGCAAGGAAATCCGAGTCGGCAACGGGCCCGTTTGCTAGGAAGGGTCAGTGACGGGGCCTGGAATGTCAGCGGGCCTCTTGCATATTGCGGGGCCCCCGACAATAATGGGAGATAGGAAATAGGGCAATAAAAGAGCCCGCATTGAGAGAATGGAATGGTAATGTGTCGGATAGTATACCCATTAGCCAAAAAATTACCCCACGCTCCGTTTCGCACAGGGGTTTGATTTTGTTAGATAATCCCTGTGCCATTTAGTAGATCCCTTGTGCCTGTAAGAATTTATTGTGCGTCAGTGAAAGACTTCTCCTAGCCGTGCCCCCCGCAGGGGCACCGGCTTCGGTCGGTATAAGGGACTAGCGCCCCCTCGAACCCCAACTCCGGTAACGGGTGGACAGCGCAAGCTGTTCTTCTCAGGGCGTAGCAACCCCGCCGGTACGTGAGCTCCCATTCCTTGTCCCGCCCGCTCCCTCCACATTACCCGCACTCCCGCATCCCGCCCTATTACCACTCCTCATCCTCGTTTTATCGGAATCGCCGTGCCCCCTCGCCCACGTTCTCGGGTTGATCCGATCCTGGTGGCTGAGAGGCGCATCGTGCGGGTCAGTCACGGCGCGTCCCAATACTCCACTTTGGCCAGAATATCCGGGGGCGTGGGGGCCCGTGGGGCCCCACACGGATCTAGCGGCTTGTCGCTCGCGTTGTGGTTGGGTGTTCCTTGCGGGTTCCCGCTTGGGGCGCCTGGCCGCGCGCAGCGGCTTAAGGGGTCAAGGGGCGGCGGCGCTGAACCACGGTCAGGACGGGGAGGGATCTCCCCGGTTACACCTGGCCGTATGGGAGGTGTCGTTCGCCCCGTTTAGCACCGGGTTAGCCCTGGCGCTGGCCACCTTCCGA